ATCAGGTGAAATAATGTTTCTGACTCGCAAGTAGACGCCTTTCTGCAGACTATCTGCAGACTCAGCATATGCCATTTTCCACACTGCAGATGAGTTGCGACTGTATTAGTTTCCTAACCACGTAAATTGAAATTAAAACATGAAATTACCGTTGCCATGTTTACTCACATGTCCATTACTCAAGTCTAATATTGTGACCAGCTGTTTCTAAAAAACGCCAATCATGTACCGTATATTTTTATAAAGAAGAAGCCATCGCGTTTACTCAAATATTTAAAAAATCCTTCTGCAGATCAGCATGTTCTTTTGCCTTTTATTTACGTCCTACATATGCCAGTAAACTGTATCATTCGGCTGAATTCTTTATTTCGTAACGATGTTTGTCTATCTTGCTTAGACATTCCCAAAATGTTTTCGGATTTATGTAATGCCCCTATTTTTACGTTTATTTCTGACTTTTTTGAAGTAAATTGTGTTTGCTGTAAGTTGAGGAAAGTTTGATCTCGGACAAATTCAGCCAATTTTCTTTGATGTTGCAGGCATTTATTAGACTTTAATCAGACAGATTTGCAACTTTAAATTTCTCGAAAACGACTTTCGACCTGTCAGCGAAGAACACAACAGCTAACGGGTTATTCTGTCCGATTATGGCATTAATTATTTCTTAACGAAGACGGCATTAAGGTATACTTGACAGACTTGGCGGCAACAATCAAAAATAACTTGATTTCCATTAAGTATGGCCAGTAGTTCATGTTCCTTCAATATCAAAGTCAGTAGTCCGCAACCAGAATAATCCGAAGTCCATTTAACATGGCCTCATTTCATGTACATTCACGAGCGGGGCGAGTATCGCATCTATTGCAAATATGCACATTTGGATATTATTTTTCTCCCCAAGTATCTACAGCAGTCCTATTTGCTATCATTTTCCCCTAATGACGACTTGATTGCAAACGCCACCTTGACCCTCCCTCCAAAACGTGCCACCGAGCCGTTTGCATACCACATCCCACTGAAGTATGCTCAAATGATTCCCTTTTCTGAGACATTAACTTCGAGCTTTCATGCATCATACTGGACACCATCAGGCAACTTGCACTACTCTAAGGCCTGTCAGTCTTGGTACAGCCTCTAGCGAAACGAACAGCTAGATATGTGAGCAATGGCACGCGGATTCAGTCACCACAAAGACTCTTCCTCAGTAGGATTGCGCATTACGAGAGAGGGAGAGAAAATAAGGAGTGTATGGGATATTCAGATATCCGATCACACACGAATCTGTTTCTGGGGCACAAGGACCTCGGGCCTCATATGAATGGGAGGGTTATGAGGGCCACATTAAGAAGGGCTCACTGCAGCTTGGTCCGTTTCCTACATTAAACCAGGATATGCGAAAATTCCCATACTACAACTGAAGAGTCAGTTGGCTAACACATGTTTTCGGTAATTCATGATCAGGCTAGTACATTTACATGGGTAATGATCAGTCTAATTGTCGACAGGATATAAATGCGTCTCGGGAGCAGGGTTAATCGAACTCCACGTTCCCACGCCGCCCGCATGACGGAGTCAACGACTATCCAGAGCGATTCATCCTCCGGAATATTAGAGAGCGTGCCACGAAAGCTGGCGTTGCAACTGCAGAGAAGAAAGACTTATTTCTAAGACTGCCTTTTCTAGGAGACGCAGCGAGCGAATTAGTGAGACGACGTCTTAAGACAGCTCTCGACTGTGCCTTCCCGTGGCGAATTTGCGCGTATTCTTCGCAAATTCCCCCCTACTACGGTTGGAGGGCAAAGACCGGTTGCCGTTACAGGCCACATCTATGTGTATTTATTCATTCACCTGTTCCTGTGGAGCGGGATATATTGGCCGTACAACCAGGCGTCTGGAAAAGAGGATACGCAAACACATGCCTGCCTGGCTAGGTAGAGGTGAACATCGATCGATTTCGAGTTTAATTCTCGCACATCTAATCGCTACGAGCCACCAAGCCGACGCTAAAGGAGCTTTTAAAGTAATCTACCGGGCTCCGGCACACTACTCTAAAGGCCTGCGCAAACGGGTGCTAGCCACAGCCGAAGCAGTGGCCATTCGACTGGCGAACCCAGCACTCTGTTGTCAGAAGACACTGACACAAACAGTACGTCTGCCCTGGCCGACTCCAGACGGTGATCGCACGCCGTCCCCGACGCACTGAGAGCAGTCACACGCACTCACAGCGCTTACAATCTAACCGGAACCCCTCTACTTAACCCCCCTCCCACCCCAATTCCCTCCCCCCTCCCTCCCGCCCCAACTCCACCGTTCTCAACATGTTGACTCTGTCATGCGGGCGGCGTGGGAACGTGGAGTTCGATTAACCCTGCTCCTGTAAATGTACTGGCCTGATCATGAATTACCGAAAACATATGCTTACCAACTGACTCTTCATTAGACCAGGAGTTTCCTCGTTATCTGGCCACCTTCCGAATCAAGACTGCTATAGGCTTTAAGCTAAAACATGAGAAATTTACGCAAGGCGAAAACCCTGAGCGTTTTTCGCTGGAACCCTGCCTAATAATGCCTGCAATTGCGACGATTTGATTTGACATCCGCCGTTATTTCTGACTGAGAGCTACTAAAATGGCGCTTCTACTGTGACGACGCGCACAGGCACGACTCATTATTGTTTACTGTGTTCATTAAAATTACGGGCAAAGCTAAGCGATATATATGCGATGTTTTACCTCCATTTGCATGCGTCTAGAATTGCTGCAATTTACGTTTATACAAATTCTCGAGTAGTGTTCAGAGGCATTTGAAAGAATGAGACACGGTGCCACTAGCGCCGCGTCGAATTTTACTAACTTGATTATTGCTTGTTGATCTCATTCACACGAACATTTTTTAAAAAAGGATTTTTTTCCTGACTTTTAGACGTGTAGAAGAATCTATCCAAATTTTGCGAACTTCATTCAATGTTAGGAAAGATGACCTCTACAACTTCTTAATCTCAGAAATTAACGCAATGACTTGGAGAAAATTCTTCGAAATTAAGGTTTATAGATGTACTCTGAACGCTGTGATATTTGAGTCAAAATTCATCATCTTAGCGGAATAACCTCGTAATATTTACATACTGACGACAGGTAACTGGCAGTATTACGTGTTGCATTTTCTACTCTATTGAGGGCGGGCGCTTCGCCGGTATTCTTCCGCCGTATGGCACAACTGCTAGGGAGTCTACTGATAATTGGAAATGTCTTTATTTCGAAGTAACTGCGCACTCCACGTATCTATTTTCAGACCAGTCCGGATAGGTTGTAATCAGAATAATTAATCTCCCATGGCATTTATTTGGTAGGCGGCTAATTTAATTTGTGCAGCTTTGTTTTAAGCTTTTAAAAGGTACTGCTAACGTTTGCGTACATTTGGAATGTTAGAGAGTCAAGGAATTTGGGCGTCGAATAAAATGAATAAAAGACAGCTGGACAGCTTTAAAAAGGCATTTGAAATACCGCTTTTAAGACTCTTAGTTTCTGCATCGGATAGGGGCATGGGACGGAAAATGGATGAGCTACGATAATCTTCAGTGCAAAAAAACCTGGGCGACGACTAGCCGACTTTCAATTCCAATGCCCAAGCAGAATATTCCCCGGAAAAGTTACTACTAATCAATATCAGTGGCAGTTAATCGATTCCAGTCGAACAGTAAACACAGAGGGGCGAGAAAATGATAAAAAAGACATGATAAGTTGGTTCTACGACATGACACCTCCGGGTCTATGCTGCACAACGAGTGAAGGACAATTTGCAGCAATGGACCAGTGGATTGATTCAAAAGATCAACCGTTTTTCTACCTCGAAATCACCTCCTTCCCGGAAGATGGGAAGAGATTATATCTGCCAGTGGACAATATTTTTTAAAAATATATATATATATGTTATATATATAACATATATATAACAACATAACTAACATACCGCCGCGCGGTTTGAATTTTGAGTTGCAAGACGGAAGTTTTTAAATCGAGTCTCTTCGCTGAAAACGACTGTCCTTCACCAAAACGTGGATTATAAAACGCCTTTCTGACAACGATCCTCCAGCTATCGCCATCGATACTCCTATCGTTCGATCAGAACAAACTTCAGCAAAAACGGTCTATCTGTCGGAAATCTCGGCTTGTCTACAGGGCCTACCCATCCAATACACCGTCTCAAATTGCTCACCGAAGTTAGGAGCAACATCTACGATAAGGCTGAGTCGATATTTCTACACTGCTTGCTGTGCTGCTTAAATTCGGACAACTCGAGTTGTCTCACTTTGCCATAGATTTACCTGAAAAAAGCGTTCCCTGGAAATTTTCGGCGTATCCAGCATAAGCATAGGCACTGTCCACAGTTGCGCCTTGAGAAATAGCTTGTTATTCCTGCAGATTTGTCCGTTTTGCATAAGTCCACTACATAATGACGATTTGCGCAGCCACACAAAATATCGCTCTGCGTGACGGAGTCGAACCACCGACCATCGGCATCTCAGTGGCGCACGCTAACCCCTCGGCCACCGCGGCACGACGGCGGGCGATGTCGCAAAGTTTACTTGATAGTAAATGCGTGCCGCATACCGATCGATTTTGCAGTGGATGCGAGATATTGGCCGGCAAAATCAACCGTCTTGAAGAAGAGATGGAAAAGATGAAAACCCTTCTACAATGTAAACTAGACACACTTGACGATGCGAATGTACCTGTTGGACGAATAACTAGACGTAGGGCCAAAGGACGTCGCACAAAAAATACGCCATCAACACCTTCTGCAGCTGTCACGGCACACCCAGCACAAACACAAAATACAAGACGACAACAACCAGCGAAGCAACGATAAAAAACCAGAGGAAAAAAAAGAAATCGTGCAGCAAAAAGGTCGAAGGACATGAACAGCAGATTCCGAGGAATGCCTCCGAAGAACCGGAACCAGGGACGTCGGCGTCCGTGTCGCCCATCACGGGAAATGACATGGGTCCTAAAACCCTCAACCTATCGCAAAAAACTTCCGACTTTGATGAAAATGCCAACAAAACAGAGACGAATGAGGATATTAATCGACTGCAGCTTATATCCTCGTCAGATCATGGCAACCACATATTGCCTATGTCGGAGCACGAAACTACTGTGTTCTCGAGAGTGTCGCCGGTCAGAGGACAATGTCTGATTATTCAAGGACTTCCCGAATCCACAGCTGGTGCCTCCAAAGAGCGGTTCTCGGCAGACCTGAAACTCTTCCAATGCCTACTCAACGAACTTCTGCGCCCCAATGAGGAAGTTTCGGTTCTCAAGGCCTTTAGGCTTGGAAAGCGCTCAATCGATATATCAGAGCACTCACGTCCCCGACCACTCAAGATTGTGTTAGCCAACCAAGAACAAGTAGGACTTATTCTCTCACGACGTTTCCGAATCAAAGACACCAACCGCGGCGTTTTTTTTCAGCCGGACTACACACCGGCAGAGAGAATAAAACGTCGACAATTAGTTCTGGAACTGAGAACAAGGTTGCAGAATGGCGAGACGGATCTTGTAATCTACAACAACCAGATAGTGCAGCGCCCTCCCCTAATCCGTTGGACCGAACCGATCCGGATGAGGGCACAGTAGCTTCCTTAAATGGGATCACAAGCGGCACCATAATCAAACGCCCCAAAACTCTGAAACTAACATTTTTTACACCAACGTGCAGAGTATATTGCCCAAGTTAGACGAACTGAAGATCCACATCTGTGACCTTTCCCCTGGCATTGTCTCTTTGACAGAAACCTGGCTGTCTGAAAACGTGGATGACCGCGAATTAATGCTACCAGTATTTCAGCTGTTTCGAAGAGACAGGAGAGAGCGTCAGGGAGGAGGAGTCGTCACGTACGTAAAACACGGCCTGCTTGTGTCAGAAAAAACAGAACAGTTTGCCTGCTGCGCCGAGACTATCTGGCTCAATATAAGGGTACCAGGATCACATAGCCTTGAAGTTCTGACCGTCTATCGACCACCGAGGAGTGACCCCGAGGCTGACGCTCGTCTGTTAGAGGAGCTAGGACGATTTGCTCTCCGGCCTGACGTCCTAATCATGGGCGACTTCAATGCACCGCTCATTGATTGGAGTTCACTATACGCGCGCGGCCCAGAACTAGCTTTCGACCGACGCTTCTTGGACATGGCACTCAGGTCATTTCTCACACAGCACGTCCTATTTCCCACGAGGGTCCGTGAGGGGCAGCAGTCAAACTGCTTGGACCTGGTGCTCACGAAATCGATGGACAGCATAGATGAGGTGCAATGTCTGCCTCCCTTAGGTCGAAGCGATCACGTTGTACTTCAATGGGACTATTCAATCTTTTCCGTGCCTGAACAGCCCACCAAAATTAGAAGAAATATTTGGCGTGGGGACTTCGATCAAATGAAGGCCGAAATCAACAATACGGACTGGGAATCAGCGTTTTCCGGAAATATAGAGGAGGATTGGAAATGGTTCAGTGAATTATTGCATGCTCTCCTGACAAACCACTGCCCGCTTTCACGGAAGGGGCTAAACAAACGACCCCGGTGGCTGACCCAGGCGTTAAAAAAGGAAATAAATAAAAAACGGAGATTGTGGCAGAAATCTCTTACTGATGGGACTCCTGTATCCATTAACGCATACAAAATACAGAGGAACTTAGTCAAGCGGCTGACCCTCAGGACACGGCAAAATTTTGAAAAAGACCTATTGAATCGTGCTATGGAAAATCCAAAATTATTCTACAGCTACATAAGAAGCAGCACACGAAACAGAGATCCAATCCCCCTCCTGAAGACTAGCGGAGACGAAGAGATCAGTGAGGATGGAGAAAAAGCTGAGCACTTTTCACAATTTTTCAAATCCATCTTTACTAGTGAAAGTCCATTTACTCCCCCCGACTACGACTTCGATGAGGGTCCAAAAATCGAGTCTGTGTCTTTTGATGAAGCGACGGTTCGCAAAGAGCTAATGACGTTAAATGAGTCGAAATCACCAGGTCCAGACGACATACCGCCTAAGTTACTGAAGGAGCTCGCTGCCGAACTAGCCAAACCATTGTCCATGCTTTTCCAAGCCTCGTTCGAAGCCGGCGGCTTGCCCGCCGACTGGAAATCTGCGCGGATCACACCACTGCATAAAGGAGGCAGCAAGGCCTCTGCAAACAATTACAGGCCAATTAGCCTCACTTCCATCTGCTGCAAACTCATGGAGAAAATAATCAAGCGAGAGCTGATGCGCTTCCTAGAGCAACACAATTTATTATCTGATGCGCAGCATGGGTTTCGTAGTGGCAGGTCTTGCGTGACTAACCTGCTCAACTGTTTGGAACGTTGGACTCGGTCAGTTGATGAAGGCAGTGCGCTGCATGTAGTCCATATCGACTTTAAAAAGGCATTTGATAGTGTCCCACATCAGCGACTCCTGCACAAACTGAGCCGAACAGGCGTTAGGGGTAACCTCTTAAAATGGATTCAAAGTTTCCTGTTAGACCGTTGTCAAACTGTCCATGTCGGTGGCCAGAAGTCGACGGAGGTTGCCGTTGAAAGCGGTGTTCCCCAAGGCTCAGTTCTTGGCCCTACTTTGTTCATCATTTACGTCAACGATTGCGTGAGTGAACTGGAGTGTGGTGTCGCCATGTTTGCGGATGACATTAAGCTCTGGAGCGTCCTTCGAACTGCAGATGACGAAGAGCATCTGCAGGCGAACCTAAATCGACTCCAACAGTGGTCAAAGGCCTGGCTTCTGCCGTTCAACGAGAAAAAGTGTAATATTCTACGAGTCGGCAGAGCTCGCTCTCCGAACCATATGGCCTACTGCCTAAATGGTATACCACAGCAAGAAGTGGACTCGCAGAAGGACTTGGGAGTATGGATTACGACCTCGCTCAAACCCTCTCTGCACTGCACGAAGATAGCCAAGTCTGCAATGTCAGTCCTCTACCTTGTCAAGCGGGCTTTCTCTGCCTTTGACGAAGACTGCTTCGCTAAAGTCTTTCGAACTTTTGTGCGTCCGCAACTAGAATTTGCTATCCAAGCTTGGAGACCCTGGACCGCGAAGGACCTCAGCATCCTTGAAAGGGTTCAAAGGCGTGCAACGAAACTTGTGGCAGGACAGGGTTCACTACCATATGCAACGCGGTTAGCTAACCTTCATCTCTTTCCCTTGAGTTACAGGCAGTTACGGGGTGACCTGATACAAGTCTTCCGTATCATACGCGGTCAGGACTGCAGCCTCGTACCGGGTGACTTCTTCGAGTTAGCAACCACCACAAATCTACGAGGCCATCCATTCAAACTACGTGTGACAGGGGCCAGACTGGACACACGAAAGTTATTCTTCTCCAACAGAGTGGTAGAAGCCTGGAATGCCCTGCCTGTGGATGTTGTTACGTCTGCTTCCGTCGAGGTTTTTAAGAGGAAGCTGGATTTGTGTAGCAGTGTGCACTAAATTACCACCCCGATCTCTGTAACCTCGACAAATTCCGCTATTATAATACTACTTGCTATATTTCAGTAACATTGTAAATTGAACTTATTATTGTAATACCCATCGCCTACGCTTACTGACATGCACATATGCAAATTTTGTCCCCGGACATATTATTTATTTCGCTGCACTCGAAACGACAGCTCTACAACTGCTCGTACCACTAAAATTCGAGACAGTTTGTTTGTCTGTACAGACCTTACGCTTTTCCGATTATTTGTTACTTTATGATACCTTTTCGAGTTTTTGAGATTTTGCAGTTGCTTGTAAACAAATAGGGAGTTCAAAGGTGAAGACCTACATTTCCCTCAATAAACTGAACTGAACTGAAAAAAAATGTATGCGTGCCTCTAAATGAACTTTGTTTTTCTCCATGAAAACGGCGCTAACTAACAGCAGCTTTCAGCAATTTCTCTCATGAGTACACCTGCGTTCTGACCTACGGCAGGAGTGAATTAGTTGACACCCCGTGGCCACATATGATCACTTAACTAAGCAATTTGGTTTTCCGTTAGGAGAATAACTTACAGCTTCACCGTTCAAATAATATCGCTTCAACCTGTTTAGAAAACGAAGCAAGCATATTTTCAACCTTCTCAGGGCAAACAACGCAGCAGCTATTTTGAAAATTAAATGGGAGTGATTGCATTTAATTTCGATCGATCGAAAAATGTGGGACCGCAAGAATGTCATTTCATAAATACGTAATAGTGCTTGATTTACAGTATAAAACCACCTAAAGGCCACACTCTTATGATATGCGGTATGAGATTGATAAACATGCATCAAAGCTCTTTGGTTAGAGGTAGAACGATGTGAAATAGGTCCGAATACCTCCGCGAATTAATAATCTTCTCCGAATTAATATAGTAAACAATGCTGACTGACTAGCGCCTTATGCTCTTCCTGCAGCCGATGTAAGTGCGTCCTCTCCGCTTTTTGCTCTTAGCCCAAACATGCTGACAAAAGCCGCGCCTGTGAAATATTTTATCTAACATAAATTTCCCTCAAAATCAGGTCCGAATACACGCTTCTTCCTTAAATAGCGTGTAAACAGTCGTCCCCTTTCCTGCACTTAAGAATAACAGTAAACGCGTATTACTTATCAGCCTTGTTCGATTACGTATGCAAGCAACTTTGGACACTTCATGACAAACTAATTGTATGGGCGATTGCTTAAATTCACTAAAAAGCAGTCAAAAATCCTTTTTGCAGTTTACCCAATGGTAGATATGTGTTATATCCGAATCCGAGAAGGTTCAAAAATTTCCCCTATCACGATCACTCCAAAACCAGACTAAGCAATTCTTTTGCATCACACACGAATTATCAGCCTGCGATCTGAAAGCACTGGGCGGATTTTTAACTGCGTTTCACCTCTTCGGAGACCCTAAATATTATATAATGTCCATTCTACTATTTGACCGACAATAGTAATATTTGATTACTATTCCACAAAAATCCGTATTCAAGGTGCTGTCGGCGGTCGCGCGTAAG